CCCCCCCCCCCCCCCCCCCCAAATCAGGGAAGTATCTCTTAAATCCCAGTGGCATGCTTGAAAATGGAGCTGAGCCCTGCATAGACATGCCTTCCTCACCCAATCTTTAGAAGGTCATGGTCTCCAGGCCTGAATCGACAGATATTTAAACTTCTGCTCCAGCCATGCACTTAGAATTGTGCTAAACATCAAGCATGTGAATTAATTTATTCATACTGGTGAGGCGGGCTTAAGATAGTGTGTTCATAGTACGTGGTTGAGGGGGTGCTTGAGCACATGGGTGGGGACAAGACTGATGTAAAAGGACCAAATCTAACTGTATGCAGGGTCAGTTTTGCTCCCGAAAGAGGGCAAGATAACCTAAGGCCCCTGGACCAAATTAAAAAAACAGTTAAAATGTATAGAAAGATTCTCATGGACTTCTACAGGCCTTTCAAGTAGCTCGGTTCTGTTCTAACTGCCTCAACCCCAGGAACACCCGGCCAGCTATTTCCAAACACAAAGCCCAATGCCACTTGAAACCACTCTGTATTTTCTGTGTTTCCTTTTTTTGTTTTGGTTTTATAGGGTTTTTTTGTTTGCTTGTTTTAATTTTCTTGCTCACTTTTCAGGCTTTTTTCTTATTTAGGGAAATACCCTGAGGACGTTTCTGAGCCCCTTTCTCTCTTTCTTTTTTTCTCTCTTTCCTCTTATTTTTAATAGCATATTGATTTTTTTTTTTCAAGGACGCACTGTGAGTTAGAGCTGTTGATTCTGAGAAGCGGGATTAAGGACGGGTGTTTAGGGATTTCTGAATGAAGTAAAGGCAGTTCAGATGGATTCACAGAAAGGGGGAGCACTGTGCCAATATTTCACAGATTGGGCAGGAGAAAGCAAGGTTGTATTTATGGTGGTGTATACTTGCCCTGCACTAACCCTTTTGGAAACCAGAAACGCAGAGACTGTCTCATCACCAGGGCAGTGAACTTGGATTTCCAGTGGCTCTTGCCTTCTTTTGGCAGGGTTGTATGTGGGGATTTTGTCACAGCCCATGGTTCATGGGAATAATGACCAGAATATCAGTCAAAATCCGCCACCAGGACAGGAATTTGCTATGACAATTCCTGCTTGTCAACAAATTTTGGCCCAGTTCCTTGACTTGGTGTCTTGAAAGAAGGGGCATTTCAAAATAAATCACATCCCTGGGCTGCTTTTGGTGCATACAGTATGGACCATGCTGGGTCATGCACTGCAAAAGACAGATTTATTACTGTTCGTTTTTTTAATAAAGGCTCCTATTTCTTTGTTATCCCCTTTTCTGGTTTTCTGGAGGTGCCTTTAAATATTCTAACTACAATTTCTCATTTCAAGAACAACTAACCTTAATTTTTCTTTTTATTTTTACAATTGTTCATTGGTTTAATTAAGTGCTGATTTGGTGGCAGCTGGAACCAAATTCACAGAGTCATTGACAGACAGGTGTCGATCCTGGCAACCAAGGTCAACAAACAAAACCAGTCATTCCCTGTCTACATTTTTTTCCCCCCCTCTCTCTGAAATGTTACTAACCAGCAGCTTTAAGCTAAACAGGAATGTTTCGGAGAATTATCTGGGTACGTCACGGTAGGGAATTATCTGGGACATGGAAGGGAAACCTGTGTGAATAACATCCCTGATAGACTGGTTCGTTGTGATTACTTTTCCTCTCTCCAGATAAAAAAACCCAATTTAAACAATGTGTTAAGAAGCTCACTGGCTATTTGAAAAGCAAAACAACCAAAAAAATAACTGGAGAAATATAGAAGTACAGTGTTGGCTAAATGGCATATTTCTTCAAGAGTGATTTGTGTCTTCCTTTATACGAGTGCTCTAAAACACACTGCTAATTACATGCTCTTTATTTTATTAGCATTGCTTTAGCATCTCGAGGTCCCAGCTGAGATATGTTTGGGTAGGCAGTGTTCTTGCAGTAAATGAGAAAGGTCTACCCCCTAAAATTTCATTACTGAAATTGGTATGGGAAAATGTGAGAGAAAGGAAAGGTTGGCTTCTGATTCTCACATCTTTTCTCTTCATTATCTCACTAACTCGTTTCCAGCTACTTCCTCAATTTTCTTATTATCCAACATCTTTGCAACTGACGTCTCCACTAAATATTTTCCAGTACCAGTTTTTGCTAAATTTTTGCCCTTATGTTTCATTTTACGTTATCCTACTCTGTTCCATTTGCTATGCCCAATTTCCTCCATCAGTCCCAAAACAGCTGGATGCAAACAAGCATTTGAAAAAATATAACAGCTTTCTGTATCATGATATGGGTAGTAAGGCTTGTGCACCCGCTCCTGAGAGAGACTGTTTTTACTTTTACTTTACCAAGTTGGTTGTTTTTACCAGATTCAATAGGCTGTGAGCTTTTTACCTCAGTTCCTCCCACCAAACCAACACAGGGAGAGTCTTGTTCTGCAGCATCCAGCAACATCCCTGAAAGTTCAAACGTAGCATGTGGTTATGAAAGTCAACCTGGGTCCCTGTGAGGCTGGGCCAGAAAAAACACATAGGTTTAATTTACTTCTGTTTGTGAGAGCAACAGTGCTGAACTTACTGCCGTTACGCTGGGGTTAATAACTAAAGTTTAAAAAGGGAGGGGAGTTGATCACAAGCGCAGATGTTACGTGAGTAACTCCTAAGACCACATTTCTGAGCACCAGGGAAAGGTCACTTGTTGTAGGGGAACATTTCTGACTGCCAGAGGGCCCAAGTTGACAGTCTCTGTGATGGTTTAGCATGACTATCAGGCACCCCTCTCCTGGAGATGCAAAGATCATTCCCATTAACACCCATGGGAATTTTGCATGTACTTCAGCAGAGAGGATGCTTGTTAAGAGAGGATGGCCTTTTCAAGCTTGGTTTGAGGAGCACCACACAGTGCAGAAGAATAAGCATCTTCCCCATGGCACCAAGGTATCTCAGAGACGTGCTCTAAGCTGTCTTGAGAGTCAATGAATGTGGAGAAAACGTGTCATGAAGCTTTTTCCCTCCTGGCCTCCATGGCATTTGAGCCAAGCTGGCAAAGCCTAGTTTTCATTGACTTAACCGTGAATTCAGGTTAACTTTAGCGAAAAAGGTGCTGATTGGAAAAGGCAACATTTTCTTCTACCCTCCAGCCCAGCTGTCCTCCTTAGAGCTTTGGTCAGGATGGTTTGAGAAAAATAATCTGGCATTTACATGAAACCATTGCCTTCCAGATGCTACGTTTGGGACTTTTATATTGTGTCTTGATTATTTTCTGCCAAATTCTATTTCAAGGGTAAAACCAGATTCACTCCTAGCAAAAGGGGTTGTGTGAGTGTGCATATTTCTTTTGGAAGTGCTTGAGATTTAACCAGTTTCTCTGAGATGTTTCCCCCAAGGTTAAATTTCCCTTTCCTCCTTTCACTTTAGCAGCTGGCATGCTCTCTGTTGTTCTAACTGTTCTCCCTCTTTTTCCCTTCCTGTTTTGCTCCATGTTTCCAAATACAGAGGAGAAGCCCAGAATAAAGTAAGTATAAGGGGCAGGGCATTTCAAAAGCCTCGGATCATTTTTCTGATCTAGCAGAAGCCCTTAGATGGTCTATTAGGCAAATGGCCGCTAGAAGCCTTTATCCAACCCTCCCTCCTGCAACATCCAGCTGTTCCTGCATGCCTTTCTGGGACGTCTGCTTCTGCCAGAGGATGCCTTAGCAGTAGTTTCTGGCCAGGGTCTTAAGACCAGTTCCTGATAGAGTCAGAGGACTCATGAACTTGTCCAAGATACAGTTGTCTCACAGTACCCCAAGATACAGGCAGCTCAATGCTAAATCCTTTGTGAAGGGCCATGGCTGGGAAACTCCCTATCCATCCGGGATCGCTGACAGTAGGAAGGATAGGACATGTTGGGATGAGCTGACTTGAGCTTAACTAAGGTTTCCTATGGACCTTCTGGCTCTGGGCCCCAGCACCTTCCCTTCCCACTCTGCCAACTGCCCAGAAAGGACCGTGCAGCACGGCGCCGAAAGCCTCGTGGGCAAGTGTCTTTCTGTGTGGGTGGGAATGACCATAGGCTTTGGGAATGAAAAGGGTTTTTAGGGGTAACTCCCTGCCCTGCATGACCTTCCATGAAGGACAATGATCCTTAGTGCTATTCTGGAGCAGTTTTCCATTGACTTGCTGTTTCACCCCTCTGTATCTCCATCAACATTTCTCCTTGTCAGCATCGTTCCTGAGGGCAGGTCAGGTCAGGACATGCTATTTAAAAAGCTGCCTGCTCTTTAAGATGAAAATCCTTTTTTTTTTTTTTTTTTGACTCTCTGCAGACTAACTGCTCCTAAAATACCAGAGGGTGAGAAAGTAGATTTTGATGTAAGTATTCCTGAGACTGACTGTGTTTGTCTGTCTGTACCTGAGCCATACACATGTCTGCAAACCCCCGTAACTCCTCCTGTATTGGATACTGATGAGGATAAAGTCAAGGACAAAAGTATAGATTCTTCTCTTTTCGGTGAAAGGCTACTGTCTGCTCCCTGAAGCTCTAGATACATTTGCTGCTAGTGTGACCAAGCTGAAATGTTAATTCATGTGTTTGGGTTTTTTTCTCCTTGAATCTTTGAAGCCAATATATGAAGAAAGGAGAAAGTAAGTGTATTAGGAGCTCTCAGATCCCCCGTTATTGTAAATGGTTTGAAAGTTGCAGGTTGAAATAAAGCAGGCCTATACTTATCTGTTGCTGAGAAACACTACCTAAAATGACAATAGAATTTTAATAATATGCAGAGATCCAAATACCTTCCTAGAAATTTGATAGAAAAATGAAAAAATTCTGGTGTTGAAAATCTACAAAGGAATATCTGCTTTGCCCAAAAATGCAGGAACATTTCCTAGGTAAGACTCATATCCCAAAGTAAAGAGGAGGCAGCTAAGCAAAGCCAGGGATAAAATACGGTGTAGGAGAATGGGAGCTGTGGATTCTGTTCCCTTCTGGGCTCCTGACTGCGACCTGGATGAGTCTCTGGCTGTCTCTGACCTGCATCAACAGGCATTTAAGCTAATCCCATAGATTTCCATGGACATCTGCAGCCACGTTTTGCTTTTATTTCTCTGTGTAGGCAGGGTGCTGGGAATGTCCAGGGCATGTTCCTAGAGCAATATGGGCTGGCTTAATACATTTTCCTGCTCTTCTAGGACATCCAAAAGAAAAGGCAGAACAAAGACCTGATTGAACTGCAGGCCTTGATTGACAGCCACTTTGAAGCCAGGAGAAAGGAAGAGGAAGAGCTGGTTGCCCTCAAGGAGAGGATTGTGAGTCCTTGAACTGCCATTTCCCTGTACTATTCTAAGAGATCCTCTGTAGATGAGAAGTTGAATCCATTAGTCCACTGTCAGAGTTTGGCAGAAAGCTGTATTGCTGTGTACAGAAGTGACCACCCAAGTAATCACCAAATGGCTTTTTCCTACATCTGTCCCTGCTCTCAGCCTCGTGTTTTACATCTGTGGGAACTGCACATGAAACCCTTCTGCATATTCTGGGAAGGGAGTAGGTGGCTCACTCTCTGAGAACCAAAGCTCTGTATCTACTGGAGGTAGATAAAGCCACAATGATGACTCAATGCCTCTGCCACTGCTTCTTGCAGGAGAAACGGAGAGCTGAAAGAGCAGAGCAACAGCGAATCCGGGCTGAGAAGGAGAAGGAGCGTCAGGCAAGGCTTGCGGTAAGTGTCTTTGCATCTCTCTCCTTGTCTCAGCATCAAGTTAGAGGAGATCTCTAAAGATAGGAAAAACCTACATGTTCTGCCTGTCTCAGTCTGGAGAAGAAATGACCACCCTCTTAAAGCAAGGGCAGGAAACAGGAGTTGCCAATCCTCATCAACGTGCTTATCTGATCCCATTCCCTGCAGTGACACCGGCTGCTGGGGAAACTGCGAGTCTCCGCTAGAGTAACTTGCTTCTGTGTGTCACACTCCACAGGAGGAAAAGGCACGTAGAGAGGAAGAAGATGCCAAGAGAAAAGCTGAGGATGATCTCAAGAAGAAGAAGGCTCTGTCCTCCATGGGTGCCACATACAGCAGCTATCTGGCTAAGGTAAAAAGCATGTATTGGTGGGAGAAATACATAAGCATTAAACATGGAGTTGACTGGGAACAGTCTTTACTACATGTTGAGAAAACAGCTTGCCTTTCCTTCTTCTGGATCCCTGGCAGCTTGTCTCACATGCTCCAACACTGAAATAATTTCATTAAGCCCAAATGTCTGCAGTCTGATGTTAAATGATGTTCTGAAAACAGGCTGATCAGAAGAGAGGGAAGAAGCAAACAGCTAGGGAGACAAAGAAGAAGGTCCTGGCAGAGAGGCGCAAGCCCTTGAACATTGACCACCTTAATGAAGACAAGCTGAGGTAACATGCTTATCCTAACTTACTGAATGTAATCCACTAAAATTTGGTCTTACTACCCTGGAATCTTGTCTAGTGAAAAAATGAGGGAGAGGGCCTTCATTGAAATTCATCACAGGACAATGTTAAGTTGTGCCCTTCCTTGATCTGGAGAATGGAGGAGAAATAGGGGATGTGGGGAATTGTTGAAATGGTTTGGTAGCCATCTAGCCATGCTCCTGGCATAGCTCTGTTAGCCTCTCCTGCTAATTAGGATTAGTCATGTGTAGGATTAAGTACAATCTTTAAACCCAGCTCTGATATTAGTTGAATGAACCTACAGATTGGTATCTGTAGCATTCCCAGGGGTGAGCTGATCTGGCAAGGTATGATGATGGGTCTCCACAGAGGCTGGAGGCTTGGGAGCTGAGTGCTCTGGTGAAGAGCAGTCATCAGATAATAGACTGGACTCCGCACGTCAGAGTTTACACACAATTGAAAGATGAGGTTGGTTCACCTCAGCTCTGAAACAGATGAGATTGTGCAATGGCAGCTGCTCTGTTCATCTGTGTGGCCTTCAGAGTCCTCCTTCCTTCTTGTCTGATTCCCCTGGATGGAAAGGGTTTGCAGAAAGGTGTGTGAACTGCATTAAATAAAATGTAAAAAGCCTCTTCACTAGTGATGTGAAAGCAGTACATAATATATGATGTGATCTGTTTCTCCCACCTTCCTTTCCCCATAAACACACAGGGACAAGGCTAAGGAACTGTGGGACTGGTTGTACCAACTGGAGACTGAAAAGTATGACTTTACAGAGCAGATCAAGAGGAAAAAATACGAGGTAAGTTCAGAAGCCATTTTGCTAATGGCACTGGGTCCAAAATGTAAAAATGCAAAAGCCATGTGGTGACATCATTTGGGTCTCCAATGACTTTTTGCAATATTTAAGCAGCAAGACACGGAACTGCATTCCCCTAACTTGGTCTAGATTTCACATTTCAGACTGAAATTGAATAGACTGTTCTCAAGGTTTTCAGTGTCCTGTGGAAAGGCAATCCCAAAAGAAAATGGACTCTCCACCCCTGCCCAAACACATCTTGTTCATTCTTCTTTATCTGTAGGTAACTGTGGCCCAAAAAATCAGTAACTCTACTTGCTCATCTCCATTGCAAAGTAATATTGCTAAACCCATCTTTGATTTCACACTTGAACATTACGAGTTTTATTCCCATCCCAGACAGATTCCCTAGGGTCACTCAAAACTGTCTCCAGACAGGAGCAGCTGACTGAGGTGTCATATGGTAACAGAAAGTGGACGTGTTTCCTTCACAGTCACAGGACAGGTCACCTATACCAGGTTTCAGTGGCTGAGAAATCCTACTGGATCTCTCTCTGTTGTGCTCTCCTTTTAATTCCCAATCACACAGACACATGCTGACAGAGAACGAGCAACACCAATGTAACTATCTCAATCTCTCTTAGATTTTAACAATGCGTTGCAGGCTGCAGGAGCTTTCCAAGTTGTAAGTACAATGAACTTGCCTGTGTAACAGCAGCAGCAAAGGCTACCAAATGCATGAGCCTGCCGCATGGTCAGAGGCCAGGTGCCAGACAGAAACTGGCACTTGCCTCCAAGTGCAGAGAGAAAAGAGAAAACTGGATCTTGTGTCTCTTCCTTCACTTCCTTTTTCTCTCCCCTTCATTCTTTGAAAAGAGATGAAGAGGCAATTTAGGAGAAGAGTTGGGGTCCAACAGGGATTGGCTAAAGAACAGAGCATGCAACCCACTCAGACTATCTCTTAAAATAATTCCCCATCCAAACCTCTGGCATTACGTGAGTCACCCTGATGCACCTGGGATAGGTGCAAAAGCTTAGGGATGCATGCTTGGACTTCACAGAAAAGAATGGTATGGGGTTTGGAAAGGTTCTCCACCTTGCAGCCACATGCTTATCCAGATCCAAAATATTGGCGAGGGCTAGCTTAAGGGTAACAGGTCAGCTGGGTGTGGAACAGCAGGACTTAGGTTTTCAGAAATGTACATGCTATGGCAATGAAACCTCTGCATAAACAGAGATGTGTGGCTGCTGATAAAAAGCAAGGAGAGAAAGTACAAAGAATGAGAAAAATAGAAGGAAAATGCATAGCTGGGATGGGAGAAGTGAAATTAAAAAAGGAAGATGATAGCAGGAAAAAAGTGAGGAGAAAGGTAAGTGAAAACAGGAAAGGGAATGAAGGAGACACAAGCAAGGATGCAAGGGAGAGACAAAGGAAGGAACTGGGACACACAGGAGTGGAGCTTTCTTTAGCTCTAATGTCGGTTGCTCTTTGGTGCTTCATTGGAGAGTGAGTGTTATAGTCACTATCACAGAGTTATCAGTGAAGGTAAGTCTTAAGTACTTGGGTCAAACTGAAGACAGCTGGTTCTCCTCCACACTTGGGAAAAATACTCGGTTGCAAAAAAAAATTTAAACCACTGCTGCAGATATTAAAACTTCCATGAGTAAGTACAAAAGCAGCTGGTCTGCTGATCTTTCCTTCCTTGTGTTGTCCTGTTCCTGCTAATGTTTCAGTCTCTTATTTTGTTTCTGTTTGCCATGGAAAGACATGAGCCAGGAAATACCGATTGTTGGGTCAATCTGAATGTATCACTTTTTTTTTTTTTTCTTGTTTCGCATGTGGGGAATGTCAAGTGCCACTTTAAATATTCAAATGTTGGGTCTCCAGTTCTTGGACCTGCAGAGCCAGTGGAGAACTCTGAATTACACTAAAAGCAGAAGCAAAGCATGCCTCTTGGCAAGTGTATTTTTCCACCCCAGGGAAACTAGGTAGACCCTTGACTCAGTTACAAATGAGAAGGCGAAAGGACAAAAGAGGACTCTATCACACCCTAGATCCTGTGGGCTTTTCCAGTACCTGAGCTGAAAGAGTCCCAGGATTTCAGTAGTGAGTCCAGGGCTATGGGCCAGGACCGAGGTGCTCAGTCAGGCCATAAGGTGCTCATCCTGTGCAAGGTAGGTGTTTGCTTTCCCACGTGTCAGGTTGAAATTTGCAGTTTACCTATGTCTAAACAAAGAGATGCTCCATCTTCTAGGGCAGACTCTCTAGTGGCTTGCAGTCACCACCAGAGCTTGGGAAGGTTTTCAGAGCCCCAACCTTTTCCTCTGTGGCTGCTCAAGCTCTCCTTGAATATTTTCTTCTTCAGCCCCTTTAAAAGTTGCCTTCTCTCATTAGACGAGTGGCTGGGAAGGTGGTGACTGCTGCAAGCTCCTCACCTCCTGCTCTCCCAACCAACAAAGGTACTCCAGTAGAATGTGTGATCCATCTTCCATTCTTGAGGTCCCCATCCAAAGTTCGCTGAAGCTCTTTGAGCTTATACACTGCTGAATGTGCAGGAGTAGGGGAAGAGCGAGAAGGTGAGCTTGACACATGCAGGTGAATGGGGCCATGCAAAAGCTTTCCAACTGGCCAGGGTGACATTCATTCCGGTTCACTTGCCTGCAGTTTGACATGTGAGTTCATAGGAGATTAATTTGTATACATAGGAACTCTTCTAATAAGGGTTATAAAAGTCTAGCTCTTCTTTCCCTTGACATATGAAATTGGCTTGCAGATTTATTGCCAAGGAGCAACATTTCTCTCCTTCAAGCACGGGTGAGCTTTTGTTTCAAAGGAAGTATTAATCCCTGCATAGGCACCTGTTTCCAGCACTTCAGCAGGTAAAACTCCCCTCTCTGTGAGGGAACAAGGTTTCTTTATCTCTAAAAACCCTGGTCATGTATGTTGTTTGCAGATTGTCACCCTCAGGAACCGCATCGATCAGGCTCAGAAGCAGTAAGTACCTATATCACCTTCCTAGCTCCTGGTTTGAGGATATCTTCTCAGTGTTCAAAGTAGTCGCTTCAGCCTCAACACCGACATTTTCTTGTTGCAATGAAATGAGGCTAGAGATGGAAGGGCAACTCCCATCCTACCTCACATTGAGAAAATGAAGGGCAAGCTGAAGTGAACATAGTAGCTAACAAGAAAAAATCATGTTTCTTCACACCATGTCTGCAAAATTTCCATCTGCTTATTGCTGGGTTTTTCAAACACCTGACTGAGGTGCTTTGAATACTCGAGGGAATATAACCCTTGCTTACAAAGGGTAAGCAGGTGGTTGCTAAAATTATAAGGAATGGTGTGTAACAAGACTAACATCATGGGATTACTGTTGTGAGTTCTTTTCACTCATCATCTCTCTCCCACTTTCCCACAAGACTAATGAAATATCATTAGATTTTTTTGAGTCTTAAATCTTTAACTATTCTAGGTGTTTAGAGTGAAATTATGAGAGACCAGGGCTAGACAAAGCCTGGGTGCTAGGGCATGTGGAAAACTAACAGACACAAGAGAGGCAACTGCAGGGAAGCAAGGGAGGAGAACTCTGCAGTGGTGGCCTTTGATCTTCACTATGCTTCTGTATCTTCTTAGCAAAGTCATGCCAGGAATGAAATGGTGGTCTTTGGTGGCATCTTCGGATAACAGCAGTGACCAGACACTGCCTTCCCACTTCCCCAAGCCACACTGCCTTAGCAGATGAATGTAACACTAGGGGCTCAGTTGTCTGTAGATGCCAAACATAAGGCTTGACCTTCCCATGGTATTTTCTGTACAGAGCTGTAGGCTGATAAACCTCAGCAGAATGTGCAGCTGCAGAAGGATGCTATGGTTTGCCTGGGTGTTGCTGCTCTTCTGAAGGGCACTACCACACCACCCACAACAGGCAGTACCATTACTGCATGCTTGCTCCCCCAAAAGACATGATATTCTCTCAGGACATCACTTAAAAAGGTTGCCCACAGCTCATGAGATTTCTGCGTACTTAAGTTTCTATCCACACTAGACTGTATCATTCCAAAGCAATGTCTGCTAACGTGTCACACAAGGATCAAGTGATCCTTTTGCTTCAGACTTTAAGTCTCCTTAAGCACACTCTAAAGGTTAGGCATAACATCAAACATCACAGGTGCTTATGGAGATAAAAGGACTCTGCCTTCGTTTGTTCCTATACTGGGTCGCAGTTCCTATACTGGGCTCTGAACCTGTGGAAAGGCTGGTAGAAGGGACACTGAGGTGAACTTAAGCAGAAAACGCTCTGCTCTCTCCCATGTAAAAGGTCAATTTTTCAAATAGACCAAATCTAACTTGGTCAAAAGGTAAAGTATCCACTGTGTGTACGTCCGTGTCACTGTGCTACATCCTTCCATAAATACGGCTAGTGCTCTTGAACCAATCCATCGGGCAGCACCACAAAAATCTCCCCAGATGTGTCACCCAAATTTTTTTCTGCTCCCTGGAGGAACCAGTGGTTCTGAACAAGGCCTCTCTGTTGATAGCAAGGCCCCACCACCTTCTGCTTGGCCCCCAACCCCATGCTCTGCCATGTCAAAGAACTGCCCCCAGTTTGCATGTGCTTTGGTTCAAGAAGCAGCCTCGTCATCGTGTGTGTGAGACAAGAAAGGTCTGGTGGCGCACCGAGCCCCAAAAGCCAAGGTGCTGCCTGCAGGAGCCAGTGCAGAATCTAACCCGACTAACTTCATGCCTGGCCCCTCTCTGACTCCAGGTGTGCCTGCTTCTCATTCAGCAGGTAAGTGGCTTGCATGTAGGACTGCCCTTCTGTGTGGAAGAAGATGCTATTTGAAGAGAGTTTGCCTCGGGTGCTTTGCGTAGGGAGTGCAGCTGGACTGCTCCCACACACACCACGAGCAAGATGGGGATACTGATATGAGGGGAGGCTTAGAAAGTTGTTTGGACTGTTTTGGAGGCTCTTGCTCTCATGATATAAGACAGAAGCCACTCTGATATTGCTAGAGCAAAGCAATTCTTAGTTGTATTTATTTAAATTACTGCTCAGCTTTTTGCCTCCACTACTAGATGGCTAGAGCATCTGGGGAATTTGACCACAGCTCCCTGATAACGAGGAAATTTTCTCCAGAAACAGCTCTAAATCCTAAGATCCAGATCATAGCAGATCTGAATTCAGGAAACATCAAGTCAGTGGCTGGATAGGCTTGTCATTTAGTTTTGAGACCACCTTGGCTTCTGTCCTGATAATGCAGGAATCTGGAAGGGTCCACCTCTTTCAGGCATGCAAGTCCTAGCCTTTTGCTAAGAGCCTGAGGTGGAATCTCTTTCCACAATATCAACAATATTTTCCTCAGGATGTACTCTATGGCAGGTGTGCCCAACATGTGAGAGGTGAAAGCAGCTCAATCCTAACCTGAGAGTCAGAAATGTGCAGTGGTCACAGAGCCCCACTGCTTCCATCGCACTGACATGTTTTTCTTTCCTTTGTATTGTAGCAGCAAGAAGGCAGGAGCCAAGGGCAAGGTTGGTGGGCGCTGGAAGTAAAGAACCAGGCAGGATGGCCTTTAGTGGCATGCCAAAACCCTGCTCGTCTCCTCTTTCTTCCTTCACCAATCACTTGTGTTCCCACGCCTCAATGATAACAAAAATCGCAACATCAGCCTGGGTTGGCTATTGCTGCTGCTTTTCTTCTTTTTCTTCCTGGAGGGGTCTGGTGGCTTCCTCAGTCAAAAGGAAGCAGGTTCCCTGTGAAAACAAGATCCTCCTGATACCAGCCCTATGCTCTCCTGTAGATTGCTGTGTACAAATCTCTGGATTTTGTAAATAAAGCGCGACCAGTACCTACTCCAATGACAGCTCTCTGGAATGGTGTTTCACACTTTGTTTAATGGCATCCCATTTTGCAAGGATTTGGGAGTTGGTCCTTATTTAATATCATTTGATCCAGCTCTACACCTGGGAATGAGGCTCAGTATCATCCACAAAGATCCGGGATTAGAGGCCCGTTTTACAGCCACCATACAGGCAGATAACAAAAGCCGACTCTGGGAGCTCATAATCTGGATGCCAAAGGTAGCTGAAATCAACTCAAAAGTTTGAGTGATGAAGGCAATCAAAGAACTGGGAATAAAGGAACAAATCCATCAAAGTGGTAGTTTTCAGCACACCACATTTCTTAAACACAGACAAGTCACAGTAAAATGTAGAGAATGATTCATTCAAATATTACATTAAAATATTTATGGGGGCAGTTAACCTACATGTAATATTAAAGCCCACTACTGAAGTGTGAATTACTTGGTTAATTCAGTGTAGATGTCAAAACACAAATGGCTGTCACTAAATTTGGGATGTGAACTATGCTGTAGGGCCTGTTGTCTTTGCCAATCCTTGAAATGCCCTGTTGGAGGGAAGCCCACGAGAGATGGTGGTTCTCCCCCATTTCCAAACTTCTGGCAGTTTCTGGTGCCTCCATTCACATCTAGCTCCGTGTTTGAGCATGCTGTGGCATCATGGATTCTTAAGTGGGGTTTTAGGCAGGAAGGGACCTCCAAAGATCATCTAGTCCACACCCCTTGCTGTGGGCAGGGACATCTTTCACTAGATCACGTTGCTCAAAACCCCCCTCTGACCTGGCCTTGAACATTTCCAGTGTGACTGGGCATCCACAGCTTCTCTGGGCAACCTGAATCCAGTGTCCCACCACCCTCATCGTATAAAGTTTCTTCCTTGCGTCCAATCTAAACCTACCCTCTTTCAGTTTAAAGCAACAGGCCTTGTAAAAAAGTTGCTGCCTTTCTTACGAGCCCCCTTCACGTACTGAAAGCCTGCAATCAGGTCTCCCCAGAACCTTCTCTTCTCCAGGCTGAACAACCACCCCAATCTCCCCGCCTTTCCTCAGAAGGCAGACGTCCCAGCCCTCCCGCCATTTTCGTGGCCCTCCTCTGGACGCGCTCCAACAGGCCCGTGTCCGTCTTGTGCTGAGGACACCCCCCAGCGGGATGCAGGACCCTGCTGGGGTCTCACCAGAGCAGACTAGAGGAGAAGACCCACCTCCCTCCTGTAACCCATGAGGAAAAGACCACGTGAAGCGCCGCCAAGGCTGCGAATTCCCACTGAGGCGCCATTCTGCAGGCTCTTCCCGCCCCTCGGCCTTGCGGCTCCTCTGGGGTTCCCTCCCCAAGGCTGTGTCCCCGCCGCGTGGGCCCAGGGGGCGGCCGGGCCCCGGGCCGGG